ATGCTATCTATATCCAGCCCATTATCATTGCGTATTTAATACAAATTAACTGGTGAGTACGTACGTACGTACTAGAGTTGCTGGTGAAACTGGTGAAACTCGGTGAATGGTGGTGAAACTTAATATAACAGCCAATTAGATTTTAGATAGTCACCAGTTTCACCAGTGTCACAGGCAAAACCCCATGCTCTCAAGATTCAATATGCGGAACGATGCACGATTGACCTACGAATCGTTACGCAAAAAACCGTTGTGTTGCAATAACCTGGGATCTCACAATTATTGAATGACGATCCTCTGCAACAAATCTGTTGAAGCCGGGCCCTCCGTTGAAGCCTAATGTCGATCTTGTGAAAACCAAGCCCCATCGAACGATTACGCCATACATCTCATTGAGAAAAAAATACTTACCCGATTCGGCTTGACAGCTGTCAAGGTAGTATTACCTTGTCGGGTTAAGTGGAAGAAATGTGAACGAATCAATGGATGAGTCAATGAATGAGTCAACGGGTAAAGAATGCTGTCGCAATAATGATGCCGTAGAGGCCTTCATTTGACTTGACTTCTTTTCCTTCCGTAGAATGTTTCAATAATAATGGCTGTGTGTAAGGGTTGGACATTAGACCAGAAAAGGGTCGTATGGCTTGAGTTCAATGACGGTCTAATGACAAAAGAGAGGAGGAAACATTCGATTTCGATCTTTTCTTGCCCTGTAGTTTTGTTATAAATAAGTGGTCGAATTCCTCTTGTCAAAGCATTAGTGTGTGTGCAATTTGCCCTTTTAAAAATTAATTCATAAATAAAGGCCCTCTAAGTGCAAATAAAATATAACATTCTTTAAAGTCTACTAAATACTCTTGTAACGTATCTCAATAGACGCCTTAGATTTTCGCCAAATCAATATCCGCCCACCCCTCTATTGAGCAACGTTACGCGACGTCTCTCTCCTGAATGACAATTCGTCGTTTTCCTCTGGTTTTGTTGAAGGTGTATTTTTGGTCGATTTCCCTCTAACACCAGCATCATTTAGTTTCACCAGCAACTCTAGTACGTACGTACATATGCATACATTCATGCGACCTCAATTTTTACAGGTCATGTGATGATCGACAACAAATTAACCAATGATAAATGAGTGTCGCTAAAAGAAAATTTAAATGACTTATATTTAAATTTTCGGATTTTCTTTTAGCGACACTCAAATAATAATTTGGTGTCAAAAATCACCTTTATTTCAAGAATTTGCATAAGAAACCGGTCTTTTTGCTCTAATAAAAACATTCCTTGAGCAATTTTACTATAGGAACCCTTTCTAACCCTAATTCTAACATGCATTACTTGAATGTGTGCTAGGTTTGTGGCGCAGCAAAAATTCTTTAATGTTCATTTTGTTAGAGTTAGGGTTAGGGTTACTGGTTAGAAGAAGGTATTTTATATAGTAAAATTCCCAACGAAAACTTTGTATTAGAGCACCAAAAGTGGTTTCTTATGTAGAATTTCGAGAAATAAGCGATTTTTGACAAAACGGACGTTTGTTTTGAAGTTGATCGTGTTACGTTGCAACTGATCTTGGAAATCTAGTAGTTCAGTAAATCTGCGCCACACATTCGCGTGCATCTATTTACCCATCAAATCGCAAGATTCGGATCAGCCCGCAGTCTAAACCTACTTTGGTATATTAACGGAAAGGCAATTTTACTTATACAAACACATTCAAGGGTCGTCGATCATTAAAATTCCCTATGCCTTATGGCAAGGTTGATTCTGATTGCTGAAACCTTAACTGCGCCTTTTAATTTATAATCTTATTACGAGGCAGAAAAGCATACGTATCGATACAGGTAAATTTACATAATAGTCAAGTGAAAGGTGTGACGAAAGATAATTAGAAGTTATTACGTAGGTCCTAGGATTTAATACGGCTTAATTTTTATCCTTTAAGTATTTGTATTACTTCATCTGTCTATCCCTTATTTCATATTATTTTTATCCATCCATTTGAGTGCCGCCAAAGGAAGACCCGCAAATCTTCGAGCTTTCCCTTTGTGTCATTCATTTTATTATTACCTTATGTAGTTACTTAGTTATATACTGAATATATTTACGTACTTAGTATTACGTACAGAATTGATGGAATTCTCTAGTTGTTGTCGAGATTATTACGTGTACATACGTATACACGAGTATGATGCGTAGGCACAATCGGATGGTAAAAAATTTTTTTATTGATTTAAATCAGGTGACATTTATGGCCTGATTATTTGTATGTATGCGACTTTTAAGGTAATATATCGAAATGCCACTATACAAACATTAATAATCTAAATTTATGACGTATTTAAATTTTAGGGTGTGATAACAAAATGCGTAATCATTTGGGCTAGGTGCTGGGAAAAGGGCCCAAATTGACAATTTTTTTTTTTTTTTTACATAAATCATTTTAGAATAAGATTAGGATCATTTTTTACTTAAAACACAAAAGTAGTTGTATTACAGGTTTTGACCATCAATTTCGGACACCCTTATCAAGAACGTACTCACCCCAAATAATAAATTCCAATTAACAAGTATTTAAGAGTAGGTGCATTCTTGATAGGGGTGTCCGAAATTGATCGCCAAAACCTGTAATAAAATTTTGCAGTATAGCTCTTTAAAGTTTATATTTTCTTATGAGTATTATAAGATTTATAACAGATAACTTTTCCCAATTTGGGTGGTCGGCTAAAGCGGAGCGAGTTTTAGGGTTACTTTTTTGATGCGGTTATGGTTAGTGGGTTATATAGATATCAATAATGTAATTTATGCAGTACGTAAATCATATATTGAATTAACTCCGCTTAGCCGACCCCAATTTGGGCCCTTTTCTCAGCACCTAGCCCATTTGTATTCATCGTAAAATATAACGATAAATATCAAGTCGCTTTTTAAGACAATTTAAAACATCGCATTTTAAAAAAACTTGTCATCCTGGGTTTGGGTCAATATCCCGAAAGTACTAAGTTTCGATACTGAAAAATCAAAACTCGAAAGTATAATATCCTGAAAACAAAATCTTGAAAAAAAAACCACCTGAAAGATCATAATCCCGAAAGATCACGATCCTGAACAATCACAATCTCGGAAGAACATAATCCCGAAAAGTTATGATACTGATCCCGAAAGTCATAATCCCGGTGATCTTTCAAGGCTATAACCTTCAGGGATTATGACTTTTCGGGATTATGACTTTTCAGAATTATGACTTTCGGGATTATGATCTTTGGGATTGCGATTTTTCAGGATTGTGATCTTTCGGAATTTTTTTTTCAAGATTTAGTTTTCAGGATATTATACTTTCGGGATTTTGATCTTTCAGGATTTGTGTATCGGAATTTAGTACCTTCGGGGTTCTGATCTTCGGGATATTGATCCAAACCCTGCCATCCTAGATATGAAGATATGAATATCAGAGAGCGAAAACCTGTAATTAAATATTTGACCCTCAAAATATTGTACGATTTTGACCAATCAAATTTCAAGATCAGGGCTGATCTTGAAATTTGATTGGTCAAAATCGTATAATATTTTGAGGGTCAAATATTTAATTACAGGTTTTCGAATAATCAATGAGAAGGAAGTAAACATCCTAGATATGATGAATAATCAATGAGAAGGAAGTATGAGAAGGGAATATGTGGCTCATAAAGACCAAAATAATAAACCGATCAGACTTTATTCTTCCTTAATGGTCTCATTATAATATCATAATATCATTATTATCTCTATCAACGGTTAGTTCATTATTCCATGTCCTCCGACTGGAATTTGCATAAAGCAGTACCTAACCAAAATTAGCCACTGAAATTAGTCAGCACGGTAGTTCCACTTCCAATGAGCATTAAAAAAACATCTACTGTATATATTTTTTAGAGGAATGATTTTCGTACATCAGTTTCGTGTAACCGCACGTACATCGACAAATAGTTTTGCCGATGATTTTATTTGATTTTATTGGTCAAAACAAATTGATGTACGTGATGTTACACGAAATTGATGTATGAAAATCATTCCTCTATATATTTAAAAAATTATACCGTATGATACATGCGCAGTTTATATTAATATTTTATCAAGTAGATGCAATTTGTCTTAAAAAGAAAACAGTTAATCAATCGGATATTTTTTGATCCGAAGTTGAATGGATAACTTCCAATTCTTTTTCAGGAGTATTGTCGTCAGAAATTTTAACCAATTGTACACGACGAAGTGCGTTCCATAAATCGAGATCGTTATGCATATTGAATGGATCCAAATTGCTTCTGTTTTTTTTCGAAAATTTGTTAATTAGTTTACAAAAAAAAAAAAAAAAAAAGATAATAAATATCGTATTTTCGCGAAATAACGCACGTGCGCAGTATGTATAATCGAGATTTTATTTACCTTATAGTACCATTAAATAGTACGGGGTCCTGAGGTATTATAGTAATATTACTTCTAAGATCCCTTAATCCAATAGTAGTGATATCAATATCGTCAATTACAATACTTCCAGAAGTTGGTTCAACAAATCTAAAGAATGAAGTTGCCAACGTTGACTTTCCACATCCTATTATTTAAGAGTAAAAAGTTAACAATTGAATAAAATAATTTTCAAATTGAAATTAAAAAATTTACCAGTTCGACCAACAATTCCAATCTTTTCGGCAGCCATAATATCAGCCGAGACACCTTTCAAAACTAAAGGACTGTCAGGCCTATATTTAATTTCCAAATTTTTAATATGAATTTCTCCACGAGATGGCCATTCAGGTGGTGGTCTGTGGTCCGGTATTATATTATCGGCTTCTATTTCTAAATTATCGCTGTAGTGAACTAAGCGTTCCACTGAGTTCATGTTTGCTTCCTATTATTATGCCATGAGAAATTAGTCTTTTAAATACATTATTAAAAAAGTATTATTATTATTATTATTATTATTATTTCTTACCACTTCAGCAATTTGTCTAACACACCAATTAAAAGTTCCAGTAACTTGAAGTGCATAAGATAATACTAATCCAGTGATAGAAGGTAAAACACCAAATCTAAAAATAACTGAAAACAAGCTTGCGAACAATATCAAGACATTTGCGATGCCTTCAAGACGGAGTGAAAGCCATCGTTGGACACAGAATATAAGAAAATATGCTCTATTTTCGATATCTAAGAACTTTTCGTTGCTCCTGTTTTGTTTAGAAAAAAAAAAAGATTATTCACTATTATGTTAACAAAAAAAAAAAAAAAAATTGCATCAAAAATCGTGAAGCATCAATTAAATTTTAATTTTAAGGACCTCAAAAATCTTTCTTGTTCACGATAAGCGCGAATAGTCGGCAGTCCTGTAAGTGTCTCGGAAAAATGAGCGTATAACGATGATCTCAATACTGAATCAAGACCTGTAATAAAGAAAAAATAATTGCAAAAATTTTTAAAGAATATACATATAATGTCTTATTAAACAATGGTAAAGATAATGATAGTTACGTTTTAATTCACGATTAGTCGATCGATAATAAAGGGCGGCAAAATAATAAAGTATGAGCAAAGGAACCAACGGAATGACGAACCAAATGAACACCACCACGATCAAAATAAAGGTGCCAATGACGGATGAAAAGGTCATAAAAAACATTCGATATGATTCAGAAAGTAAACTATCACATGTGTCGACATCTTTACTGAATCTAGTTATTAAATGAATTGGATTAGAAAAATATTTAAAAAAAGATGGTTAATGATAAGTTAAATATGACAACTACCGATTAATAATTCTTCCTAAAGGAGTGGTATCAAAGAAACTTGTTGGAGCTCTTAATACACGTTTAATGGCATTATTATGTAAATGCTTAGCCGCTCTAACACCGCTGTAGGAGAATGCGATGCCACTCAAAACACCAAAGATGCCTTGGGCGACTCCCCATGCGCAATAAATGCCTATCTATAAATGCAAATTCGCGTTTAAAGATGTAATCAATTAATTACATTTGGTTTTACTGTAATGAGATTTCATGAATTTTAAAAATATTTACATAAAATCCCATTGAAAGATTAAATGTGTTGCTGGACCAGAATGAAAGCCATAAATTGTTTCTAAAATAAAAGAAATCCAGAGTTATAAATTAGCTATAAGATTGTATAGGCAGT